AGAAAATTAAAAACTATGGGATTTACCTATAACGTCATATATTATGTAATCAAAAGAAAATTAACAATATTATGTTTTTTTGTTAGTTATAAAATAAGCATAATTAGCACGATAAATGGCTTTAGCTTAACCGTGAGGTGATCGGTGAATTTTTGTTTAAATTTACACAACATCTATAACACTAGTAAGTTCACGTTGTATTGATTTTTAAGTGGTATAGTTCCAGTAATCAGTATTTAAAATTACCAATTGCCGCATGTGAATCGTGATTTAATGTAATAACAATTGTATGGGTTCACTTGCGTGACCGTATTTGTGTAAGCTCGAGAGAAAAAAAATTTAAATCGAGAATATTATTTTTGTTTTAAAAATATTTATTTAAAATTTAAATCGTATCCACAGCGCCTTACTGAAGTACTTTAGTACCTATATATTTTTTAAATATTTAAAATCTAATTTGAATCCCTCGAAAATAACGCATAATATATTGCAAAGTTTGGTAAATTTATTTCGTCAGTCGTCTCGAGAAAAAATAAAAGTATTAAAGTACTGTTCGTTAGTATATTAATTCACCTTTAAAATGATATTATATATTCGCGTAAATTTCGGTCTCTCGCCATTCATAGCCACTGCTGCAGACTCACCAGACGCATTATATATAACATTTTATTGTTGCGACCCCTGTGCGAACGACCCTTTCCCTGTAGGAAACGTTTCGAGAGGGGAGAAGGAGGTTCCAGCGACTGTGGCGGCGGCCGACGTGTGTATATGTATAGTCGACTCAAACGCGAATTTTCGTGAAATTCTCGATGATAATAGTAATAATAATAATATATTTCTCCAACCTAACCGAAACACCTCCATCGCAGCCATCTCCAAAACCGCCCGCGGAGAGTTAAACGTCACTGCAGGTACCGCGACCAGCGATTGCGTACGATAATAATAATATTATTATTCCATATTTTAATACACATGATTATTATTTTAGACCGCATCATCATTCATCTCGTCTTTGTTTGTATCTCATTCGTTGACCCGCACTCATCCCAAGAAATTCTGAATAATATTTGAATCTATGATTGCGTATTACCCCCTCCCCCTAAGTATACCATACGGTCAAGTCCAATCTCGTGGTTGGCCAAGAGGATTCATATTTAAATATTTCGTCGACGCACTTTGTATACCCCTCGTAGTTATTATAATATAATGCTATTTCAAAAGACTTCTAACGGCAATGCACATGCAGGTCGATTCTCGGATCTTTCAAACCAATAAAATATATAATCTTAATAGTTTACTATTTTACACCGTTTAAAAATTCATCATCTAACATTTTTTGTCTGCGATGCGATTGTGAAGGTTTGCTTTTGATGCTCTAAAATTTAAAAACTAGTGAAATTTATCTGGTTTATTATGTAAATAATGGACCTAACGAATTTGAGCATAATAATATAAGATGAAGATCTCACCATTGTCAATACTTAACAAGCACCTACTTAATCATTAATTATTCGGTTGAAAATTTTAGAATTTCAGAACAATAAATCATATTTTAAGAATAACGATGAAATAATAAAATTCGATTTTTTGCGACAAAAATATTTCGGTAATTTTTCCTTACACATTTATCGAAAATAAAAATAATCAACCTCTCAAAAGTACCAATTAAGTGTGTGCACTGGATATAGGTAATATACATGCACCTGCGTCTAGTGAATTTCGAACTATTCTGATCAAAAAGTTGTCTGCAGAAAATTAAAAGAATTTAACTACCTTTTATAACCACATGGTCTCTCGTTGCTTCGTTCAAAATATTAAATCAAGAATATTCTACAGTATTTCATTTCGGTATTTTCCAGTTAAAAATAATTAAACTACGCAAGTTTGGCTTTATCTTGCCATTAAATATTATTAAACTATATAAGATTCGTTTCTGTTTGAACAGTTCCGAAATCGCCAAAACGATATTTGTGAGTTATTTATCTACGTTGAGGTATATACAATCCTTAACGAATATACATCGTAATAATATAACATCTGTCAAAAAAAAAAAAAATGTGAAAAGCGGTTTCGTCGATAAAACACTTTAAGATGATTAAAATAAAAACAAAATTTTTTTTTCGAAATTCCGCAATTTTTCTCCGCAAACCTATTTCAACGATATAATTCCTAAAACTGGACTGCTGAAAAATAATACGTTTCTCCAATCAATTTATAGGTCGATATTGCAATATTACCATAGATTAAAATAATTAAGTCACTATATGGTTACTAAATGGACGTACTTATATAATATTATATTATATCATATAATATAATTCCATAGAATATGATATGTTATTAGACCCGAACAAATCGTGTTGAAACGATAGAAAATCACTTATAATAGATGTTATAAAATATCGTAATAACTATGTAAAAAGTTAAATTGTCTAAAAATTTGTGAGCGCGATAGTATGTCTGCGAATTTAATAAAATACAGCCGTCGTCGTTGAACGGTTAAAGCTTTATAGCTATACGGTGGAGGAAAAAAAATGTAAGATTAGTGTGGCAGCAGCACGGCGTTCTACCTCGAAAGTCACGTTGCTGGTGGAAACGAAGTCCATAGAAAAAATGTTGAAAATCCCAGAAATGCGTTTCGGCGGCAAAAGGGTAAAAAAAAATTCGTCGCCGGACACTATTCTACTACTCGTTTCCAACTGCACGACATTTGGCGTTCCACTCTTGCCAGAATTAATAGTAATAATAATAATAGTTCATAATATAATAGCTCCTATCTATAAAATTAATTTGGTGAGAATATAATATGAGTATAGATTTGTGTTTTTAAAATAACTAAAAGTTTTTTTTATTTTTACAAAAAAAAATCCTTTTTTTAATTTGTTCATTCGTTTAACAAATACCAAGGTTTTAAATTGTTTTATATTTTTTTTTGAACAACAGTTATATCAATACATTTTTTTTTAAACATCACAATCAAAACGTAAAATTTTATTAAATATGATATTAGTGAATTTTAAATATAAACGAAATTCTCGAGCAAACTGTTTTTTGTTTTTATTATTAAAAATAATATTTGGTCAAAGATGTATAAAGCTATTAACTAACATACATTTAGGGAGCACGTTTGTGGAAAACTGAATATGTTGTCATAAATCATCACTTGCAACTTTAAAACTGGTTCTAATAGGCTTCAGAAATGAAGTGATTTCTACATCACAGCAAAACACACGACAGATATATACTACACATAGGCAAAGGTGAACGAAAATAATTAATTCAAGTTAAGTTAATTAAGGGGACAATTGATCGATAAATTAAAAGTCAATATAGAAAATATTAACTTAACTTGGTCTATTAAAAAAAAAAAAAATTATGAAGTAAATCACATATAGAGTGATTGTGTCTATTTTGTCAAGAAAAAGAACAGAAATGTTTGTTTTAGTATTAGATTATTATGATTTTATATTAATATATTAATTTACGTATAAAATAAAAATTTCAAAATGTTAACTTGATGGATTATTTTTAAATTATCTGAGAAAGTTATTTCAACTGTAAATTAAACTACTCAAGATTATTAGAGAATAAACTAACTAGTTAAGTTTAAAAGCTTTAAAAAATTAACTTTTTAACTAGTTGATGTCCATGTAAGAAACTATAATATACTATATTTCAATCACCATACATATTCATATCCCACAACTGTATAAAATGGTCAATAATCGTAAATCTGACGATTCGCGTTAAAAATTAAAACCCAAGACAGTTGTCTGCACGCACGACGATTAAAATCACACAAATCATATTATTATCATTATTATTTCAATATAACCTAACCGATTATGCATAATAATATGATATTATACAATTAAATATCATAATACTTCTTGTTTACGGTACTTCACGTGGTTCTTAAAATATTCAAACGCGCGCACACACACAAAACACAAACAAACACACACATACTCACACAATGTGTCATATAATATATGTAATATAATGGTTTACGATATTATAATATTCGCCTCGTCGTCGTCGTGACGTACCTGGGTGCGACGATAATATAATATGCGTCATCGCCGGGACGAGGGATCGTGTGGTGGTTGTGGAATGGGTGGTGTCGGTGGTTGTGGTGATCGTCGTATTGTCGTGGGGTGGTGGTGTAGGTGGGGTGAAAGCACGATAAGGGTGAGCGTACACTTGCTGTATTGTATTATACAAATGCGTGCGCGCGATAGGACTTCCGGTGCCGCCCTCGCGGGTTCGCCAAAGAAACGCACCGAAAATGGACATTCATTTATAAATATATAATATTATATTATATCATATTATCATCACCGGTCTGACGATAAAACGTCGTGGGTACATCATAAACGTTTATTTATTATAATAGTCTTGTAAGCGAAATGACTAAACTTGCCGTCGCGTCCGACCACGTTAACGTCAAGGTATCGAGGTTCATAACAATATTGTATTACATTAGGCGGTATATTCACGTCATATTATACCGCGGTAACAACAACAACAATCGTATATTATACAAAACCATAAACAACAATCACAACAACGATTTGTGAGATTTGTATAATAGAGACGGGAAGAACACACGCGGCGGACGAGACTCGTGTAGTCATGGCCAGCGTGTGCGGGTGCGTGCGCGCGTCAAAATCAATGCTATACCGGCGGACGAAGCGCGCGCGTGGGTGTGCTTGCGTTTGCGTGGTCGCGCGCGCGCGCTTACGCGCAACCCGTACGGGTGCGTGTGCGCTATTTCGGGTGCGTTTATACAAAAACGTGTGCGTATCGCGTGCGTATAATCGCGGCGGCGGCGTCGGCGTGACGACCACTTGTTTGTGGGTGCGCGCCGCAATGCGCTACCACCCACCGCCAACAACCGTTTCGCCCACGCCGCCTGTACGGCAAACTTAACCTCGACCACACCAGCGCTACCACAAAAATTTAACCATCGCCAACACCGTGACGGCGCGCCCTTTTACCTGCGTCGTCCAAAGTCTTCGGCGTTGTCGTCAGCTGCAGCAGCCGCTGTCCGAGCGTATTCACACGCCCAAGCCGCGATCGTAAATGGCCCGACCGTTTCCGTTTCCTCTTAATGCTGTTCGGTACGTCTCCTTCCGGGCCGATTGAGGAACGGGGTAGGTGCGGGACAGACACGGACAGAACGAGTTACGAGAGACAGCGATGTGGACAGGGACAGAGAGATGGTGGGCGAACGATCGAGATAGCGCGTGGACGGAACAGGAAACGGGTGGAGGAGTGGCGAGCGAAACGCGGCTGGGATGTTGGAGTGGATGGGGTGGGATGGGGAGGGGGGAGAAAACGACGAGAGAAAAAGAGGTAAATGGAAATGAAAAAAAAAGAGAGCGCACCCGCGATCGGCGCCGAGCAACGGTCGTTGTGTTCGGTTTAGCGGGCACAACAATACAGAAGACACTTGTTGAGCGGACGCCGGGAGTCGCTCGGCACCGACGCTCCGGCGTAGGGACTCGGCGTCGTGGTCGTCGGCGTCGTCGTCGCGCGCCGCCGGTGGTGGTGGCGGTCGGCTAATGTCGTCGTCAGCGCGTGCGCGTCCCCGCGGGATCGATGCGCGGCGCACCACTGCCGCACGTATCACGCGCCGTCCGCCGCCTCCGCCACCGTCTTCGCCTCGCGCCCGCGATGCCGACACCTGTTACCGCGCCATCCCTCCGATCCACGACTGTAGCCGGTCGGGGGATGGACGACGTCAGCGGTGATTGGGTGACGAGGGGGGTGGCGGCATAGTTGTCGGCGGCAGTGTTGGTGGGGTGAGTGTGATGGTGATGGAGGTGGAAGTGGTACGAGGAGAGTAGTATCGATCGCGTTCAACCCCTGTCGGACGTTCGTCGACGGCGAAGGGATAGGGTCGTTCCCTACGGTTCCCTCGTCCCCTCGTCACCACCGCCACGGCGTATTATTGCACATACTCGCGTTTCGCGCGGGGTACGTTCACCCTGACGGGCGGCGCGCGTACGCCAAAAATCTTTTTCGTCGAGAGATTATTTTCACGCGCGGAATCGGTTGTATCGACTGATCGACCATGTTTTTTTCATTTTTTAATTTTTTCTCCTATTTTTCGCATCCCCACTGCGAAATAGTTTGTATTCGCCACGTTCATGACATACACTAGACATTAAAATTAGGTTTAATTTATCATACCAATCTGTGGCACCGCCTGAATGGAAGACCACGTGATCTTTTGAAGGTTTATTTTATTACACCTTTATATAATATGACTTTGACCTAAAATATATAATATATAATTGATATTTCATTAAATCGGCACTGTCGTCGTCGGTATTCGAGTTGTAATAATAAATAAACATCATCTGCTCGCGATAGCATCCAACCTTGAAAATTGTGAGTAGTATTTCCCGGAAAATACTACAAGGTTTATTTTGCATTTTAATTCAACGTGTACAATAACGGTTTAATATTAAAATATAGACGTAACGGCAGACGCAATATAGCATATAGTAGACACTGGTCGGAGAGGTATCTCGGTGGTTGTGGGAAATTTTGTTTACATAACTTTGGAAGGGAACAAAATAAAACAGAATCCAAATAAAGCCCGTCGAATAAAATTTACAAACGATAACAACAACAAGCGACGGTCATGATCGATCGTTAAAAATATTGTTACCTCAGTCGACTTTTTTATGAATGATTGCAAATAATAATAATAATAATAATAATAATAATAATAACGTAACTTATTACCGGGCACTATCGGGAACAAGATTTTTCAAGCGTTTGCGTTTACCACCTAATATAGTAAACATCGCGAGTAAAATGACATAGTCTTTGTGCATTTTTTTTTCGCTCGAAATTGTGTCAGTTTTTTTGTATTTTACGATTGAATAATTATTATTCAATTCTATACAATAATCGGTCACCGGTCAATATTAAGTAGAATAATAATCCAATACTGATTAAGAATCACACACGACAATCGGCACTTTTCAATACGTGACGACTGACGAGTGATTTAAGTCTAAACGACTCAAAATTGTTGGTGTAAAAATAAATTGAAGAGCACACCGGGACAATTATAGCCATTTTAGGTACAAATTTCCGGTTGGTCCTAGCTTGTGGGATCGAACTGGAAAAATTTAAGAGGACATGTCCCCCGCATGACATATTGACATGTATATTCTCCGCTTTACAAATGTATTAAACATGGCGAATTTTACATTACCTATCAATTAAAATCTATTTTACTCTGCTATTTTTAAAATTAAAGTGAACTGATCGTAAAATTGAATGGTAAAATTGTTATCTAGGGGACAACTAAGGTTTTTGTAAATATTATTATTATTTAGTAAGTTTTGAACTTTTTGAGATCTTACAATTTTTGTACATTTTAAAGTGATAATAATTTAGCCAATACCTATTCAATCAAATATTTTTAGTTAACATGGGAACTGTCGAACGTATATCTCAATAGTATGTATTAGAAAAAAAGAAACAACATAATATGCGGGCACGACGTTCTTTTAAATCGACCAAAGACACACAATACTTTAGACTTCATGGTCGCGTCATATTATATTGTGTAAACAAACATTACAATACACTGACGAGTCGTAATTATTGTGTTGAATAATTGTTTCGAAAACCAATTTCTCAAAGTTTCCAATGAAATCTTTATCGATAGAAGCATGCTCTACTCGCGGTGTCTTTCGTGGCTGTTCGATTTAAAATTTAAGACGTAATAGTTGACTCTAAATTCTATACATGTCTATTTTTCGAAGTAATTTAACGAACATTTTATCAATCATTTCACGCGTCGCAATGCATCGTTAAGACCTAAACCGAGAACATGTTATATCACCACAAGTATATTGTGTTATCGACAGTTTTGGGAAGCGATGAATAATGAACGTTTAACGAGGGTGACGAAAATAATTATCAGATATTAAATCATTATCCAGAATTTGATAAATACACGTCATACTGGTATTAGTCGACCGTCTTTGTCGGAAATATGTAAAACATAATATGTCTATAATACAGTACGGAAATATTAAAAACTATACTTAACTCGATTTAAACGTCATATTATTATGAGTATGTTGAAAAAAATGGCGAAGTGGTCGAATTTCTTTTCAACTGACATTTAAATCTGAACTGTCAGAGCAACGATGACTAATAATTATGATCCATAATTTATGAATCGATTTCATAACAACAATATATTATTTTAATATTAACGTCTTTATGTGTTACCGTCATCCGGAAGACATGCTTTATTCGGTTAACTGAAAATTTTGTAATACAAATAGGTATCACGAATATCGCAAATATATCCCACAGCGAAGTCGTCACGGGACCGACAGTCATTATTAGTGCCATAGACGTGCATATGGAGTGGCCATGGCCCACCCTTTTAGCCGTACTGTACCCGTTACACATATTGTGACCTGATAATTGTTTATCATAAAACTTTAATAAAATACAATAAATTACAAATTACAATTTTCAATGATAATAATTAATTGAATACATTGAAAAATTGAATTGCTAAGTATCCAAATCATAATTAGTTTGGCCCACACTGTCAAAAAGTTCTGTGCATGCCTATATATGATTATTATATATACCTAAATGATTTTTATTTTCGTTCGGTTGTTTTAGAAGACAAGCGCGTTGTGTGCTTTTATATCTTGTACATGTTCAGTTGTGTGGGTTTATTGTATGTGGGCGTATTGCGTGGGTGGGTCGAATGCGAATGTCATACATACTACCTATATACGTAATACATTTAGCACACGTAATTTTATACAAATGCATAAGACTAGCTTACACTAATTAACGTTTCTCGCTCGCAATGGTTCCCAGAGTAAATGCCATATTATAAGAAAAGCGAAACTAAAAGCTATTTGGAAACCATGACGTGATACTATCCCGAATACATTTTTTTCTTACCTGTTAACGATTTTCATCCTCTTGCTCATCTGTTTTCAAAATAACCATTCATTCTTTGAACAATTGTTATACTGAAAAAATATGTAAGTATATATTATATATATAAATATTTGTTAGCGTTGACGTATGGAATTCTGTAATTCTATAGAATAACTAGTTATCTTATAGAATTACGGATAATTTCAGTTAATGTATTGAATGAATCCATAAATTCATGCATAGGTACTTCAACTAGTTATTGTAAATACTAACTAGATTTATTCTATGAACTAACAATAATCGTTTAGTTAATGCATTAAAAACTTTTATAAAATCAATACATAAAAATATATAAATAATAATTTTGAAAAAGTCGATTTTGTTTTGGACAACGTCAATTTATTAGAAATTAGGTGAAACAGCATATTATCATATACATTACCGCAAACATAATATACATATACCTATCATAAAATTTGGTCATGAAAACAGATATATTATAAGTGGGACAGTGGGACAATATTGAATATTGTGTCGTCGCTTTGAATAAGTTCGATTATTTCGTTTTCGACCGCGAAAACTCTTACCTGTACCTAATGTGATACCAAGAAACCGGCTAAAGATCTCTTCTGACCTAACCGAAAAATAAACATTAATGTTTAAATATCGTACATAGATCCTATGCGCTGTAATTTTCTCGGGACACGTTATGAAATTACTACACCATCACACACAAAAATATTATTTATAATGCCACCGTTAAAGCATAAATATTATTATTAAATTCGAAAAAAATAAATATTATTTACGATAACCGTAAAACTTTAAAACTAGGTAACGTTTTGGATTTAAAAAAATAAAATAATAAATAAATACTTTTAATTTTCTCGTATAGTTATAATATTATACATGATGCATTTTATTATACCACCGACCGCCGTATCGCATGCGGTGAGTCTTTTTATTTATATGTATATATATATTCAAATAATATCCATAAAGACCATATGCAACTTTTTACCATACTATACACACATATATATATATAGATTAGGTACCATAACCCGCGTATTTATGCCAAGTTACGCGTACCGTCATAACTTGGCGCAAATCCAAAACAGAATTTCTTTTATCTCCGTTTTCAGCCACAATTTTCATGTATACGTTTTCCCACCGCACTCGCATTATACGGCTCATTAGCTTAAGACATTATTTATACGGAGGCGGCGGCGGCCACGGCGTTACATATGCGTTTAATATAATATAATATTATAATATCATATATTATATATTATGATATACGCTGCTCCATAAACTCGCGCCGAAAACAGATATAATAAAATTGTCAAACCTACTTTTTTTTTTTTTAAACTACGGGCGATTAGAATTTTTTTTTAAACGTTATAATGTTCAAGCGATTGATACCTGCAAGATCGCTGCCATTTAGCTATTATAGACACATCACTTGTATTTGATCGTATTTATATGTATCCTTGATTTCGAAATATTGAAATATTAATAATCTTATATTCTTTTCAACGGAAGGGGTACTTTTTTCCGTAAAACGTGATACTGATAAATATTAACAAAATTAAAATTAAAATTAAAATTAATATTAGTATCATTGAATAACATAATAACTAACGTAAAAACTCATAAACTACAACTTGTATGAATACAGAATTTAATTTACTTAAATAAATTTTTTATCAAATTAATCGATAATAAAACATATGCGTGATAAAAGATTTACAGTGAAAAAAAAAGATTTTAATTTGAAAGAAAATAAGTTTGCATCAAAAGGATAAATGATACTCATAAGTGAATACTATAAAAGAAAAGAGAAAATGTCTCAAAAATGATTTTGAAACGGAAGTAGTTTAATTTCCACTGCGGATGTGGTGCCACCGATGGCAGTTGAGGTGTTATCGTCGTGGGTGTTTTCAAATTTAACAATAAGCAACAAAAATATGCATTGATATAATATTGAAATATTTTTGAATTATTGTTCATGGATCGTTGTGAAACTCAATCGACTGCAAAAAATGTGCTCAAAAAGTAATGGGCGGCCGTAATTAATAATGATATTAATAATTAATACAATATAATAATAATATAAATCGGAATTTTGCAAGTACTTTCACATTATATAGGTTAAAACAATTTTTTTCTGGTCTATGAGGTAAAGAAAGCGAAAGCATCCCAACAATAATATATCATAATATTATGCGCAAATAATTACGTGACATAAAACTGTGTAAAATTTCCGAAACGTTGATAATTAATTTTCACAACTTTTGACCCACAGAAAACGGTGTATCAATATTATAACAGGGCGTTGCGTGGTTCGTCCTAAACTTTGGTAAATAACGCAAAAACCCACGCAAAGTTGTGCCGCCGAATACGCAGACACGTTAAAAGCGCACAAGCTATTATTTTTATATACGCAAAATATTACCATATACCAGATACCTTTATTTACAAACATAGACCTTAATTTTTATTACTCATATATTTTACTGATGATAAATCATTACTCATTAGTATTGATTTTGCACAATTTAAACGTGTTTGAGAACTGTATAGAGTGTCCCGTGAGGATTTACCCATTGCGATATCTCCCGAAATAATGATGATACCGAAATTCTGATTTTGTAATAAGACTCTCAGGGATAAGAACTACAATTATTTCATATTTTAATTTATTTTAATGTTTTGGTAAAAAAGTTAAAAAACATATTTTTTTATTTAATTATTTCAAAAAAAATTAAAGATAGCCATTTTGTTGAGTTTATAAATAATAAAATATTAGTAGTTATTAAAGTTTTTATTTTAGTAGTATTTCAAGTTAAGATTGGCAGAGTGGAGTGGTACGGGGTTACCCCGCAAAATGTTTGTCCACTACTCCGCTTGWCTAWACTTTAAATACWTATAACTCATAAACTACTCGTCCTAAATTCGATTTTTATGAATCAAAATACTTAGAAAAATATTCTGCTTTGGAATATGAAATTAAAATTAATTGTCATTCAAAAAAGTAAAAAACTTAAAAAAATGATAAAGATAAAAAATATTAAAAAATATAATTTTTGCAACTATGTAAAAAAATATTTTGAAAAAAGTCAATACTTTTTTAAATAATGAGTTTCGATAAAAAAATCACCCTGTATATTACTATTGATATTAGATGTTATTTATTATACCTGACAAATTATGTACTGGCATTAAAAATTGCCAAAAATATTTATAATCAAACGTGAAAAGTGATGATTTTTTGTAGGGAATGAAATAGCTTGGAATTATTTTAAATAGCTAATTATAAGTCTCCTATTCAATCACCGATAATGATTAGGTGTAAGGTGAGAGAGTATGGACTATGATTATACATAAATCCTGTTACCTATATGTACCATGTTAGAGGAAGTCGCTTGCTTTAACAACTACAATATTATTACAATTTTATATTATAATTTATTAGAAGTTATATATATTAATAATTTCTAATTAAGATTCGCAGATATTATTTTGTAGTGCGTACCGCTGTTGTTACAATAATATGTAGCCAATTAAAAGTCAAAGTCTAATACCATTCCAAACAACAAGGATGTAACAATGTACATAATGGGCCCTAACATGATGAACTTTTGTCCATTATTGTCTTCTTGAAGCATATATAAAAATACGTGTTTATGTATGACGTTTAATATTATTTCTGTTATGTGTAGAAATCAGCTAGAAACAATCGTTTACCGTCATAAAACTTTATTAGACCTATCTATTACATAATTTGTATGATTACTTGATTATTATTTTTAAAATCATCAATATTTCCGGTCCATCAATTGTTGCGATACGTTAAACAAGTATAATAGCATATTTTTTATTGACCGTGTACTTTAGTGGTAAATATAAAACCTACTGGGGAAATCAAAGAGACACGTTTTTGACACAAATTGACGGATATCCTTGTGCAAAACGTATAAAAATACGCGACGGATGTTAAACAAAACTAATCAAAAAGAGGATTCGAAGATACCTTCCACGATTTCTAGAAAATGTATAGACTACGATACTAGATGACGTGATAATATTATTTTTTAATCTATTATTACAATAGTCATCGAATATATAAACAAATATCCGAACTTAACTTATTTTGAGACCAAATAAATATAACATTGCCTTCAAACGTGCATAGATTATTACTATTTGGACGCAACGCGTGGAACGGCGAGATCGTTATTATTATTGTTAGGACGACGAGGGACAGTGTAAAATAATAATAATAACAATAAAAATAATAATAACAATAATCGTTTACGGAAAAGTTATTATTGCGGTCGGTGATGGGATGGAGGAGGAACGTAACACGACTTACCAGCGATTCGTACGTAAAATATGCGCTTGTATACGCCACCCCCTCCCCACAAACCGGACACCCCGCTACTCGACCGCTTCCGCTGCAGTGTCTAGACTCTAGACGATTTGGAAGCGGTCTGCGTGTTTATACGATCACGGGTAGTAAAGCTTTTCTCTCCAACAGTATACAGTAAAATATATGTACTCACGATACTATAATACCGTCCAAGTATATAATATTTTAGTTAGACATGATATACCTACCTGCTATGCATCGAGATTCCCGAAAAAGCATTCTACTCAATACGAAATCGTCAACATCATTATTTAAACCCCCCTCCTATGAGTTTGACATGAAAGAAAACTGTGGCGACTATTCGTTAATTATTTAATACACTCAAATTATTATTTTCTTTACAAATTTAGAGTATATTCGAATCTGTAAAGGCCTTTAAAAATGTTGACTTGCAAATCTCGCAGGCAAAACCTAACCTAACCKTAATTGTGATCTGAAAATTATTGACGGATCGTTTCAAACATTTTGATTGGAATTAGAACAAGTGATTCCTAGAGAGTTTTTCTACTACGTGTTTCTGTTATATAGATACCCATCAAAAATAACAATTTATTCATCATTAAATGCAAAATTAAACAAGAATGCAAAATTATAAGCGGCCCAAATTGGACTAAAAGTTTTAAAATCAACGAATAAACATAAGATATTCACTAAAATAAATTAACTACTATTAAGTTCGATGAAATATTAAAGTTAAATATAGAATGGTAAATCACATATATTCTATGAATTTATATCTATAGCCGAAAGTTGTTAAAATTATGTATTTTTTTATATTGTTTCAATGATAAGTATTACTATTAATATTCTACACTAAAAGTTGAATAACTCGATGACGGCCAATCTTAACCTCGATTGCAACGCATAAAAAAGTATAACCTAACCATTTTCTAAAAACCCTTAGAATAGAGAGTGATGCTCGTTAAAAAGAAAATAATAGAGTTCATCTGTAATTTTAGGACTGAATTTTAATATCCTACGAGACATTAGTTTATCTGAAAACATAATACGATGGTCTTAAAAATAAGCTCAACATTTTTGAAAATCAATAATAATGGTATCGAAAATCCCACACTGTTTCTACAAGTATAGTTGTAGGTCATTAACAATGTGTTGAATTGAAAAAAAAATAAAAGTATATGACTATACGAGTAGGGCTTGCGTTGAGTAAATCATATACCTCAAGACATAATATTATATTTTAGCAAGCCTGGGCAAAAAACTTTATTAAATTTAATTTCCAATAACTTAATTTTTAACTAAACTGAATTTTATTGATAATGCAACTTAATTAACAACGAGTTACTTTTAATAACATCCAAGCTTCGTTAGTTTATAAATGATTTAATTATAAAATATATTATAATACAATTATTATTGATGATGCATTTTATATTAAAATTTAATTTAATCATTTTTATTATTTTAAACCATGTTACTGGTTACCTATATATTTTATATAGTACCTATTAAATCAAAAATTATAATAAGTTTATCGTACATTTCCTTATAACTTTTAATTTTACAAAGTTAAAGAAAAACTAGGATGATAGTTATATTAACTTTTTTTTAAACGTTTTCAATCAACTTAATTTAATACTCAATCAAAAACTATTATTAACTTTTCCAGGCTTCTATTTTAGTATAATATATATAGTGTTGTATACTCACATGTAGTTTATATACGACAACTAATTCGAGATCGAGAAAATAGTATTTTATCGGTGCAATTCGTTCGAGAGCGATGAGGTTCGTCATTCTTATTCTAGTCGCCGTTCCCATGCATCAGTCGAAACGTTTTTTTCGCCTAACACACAAACAATAAATTAAAGTACAAAGCAGTATGACACACTCGAACGTTGTATAATACTTTATTTTGCAGTTGTAGTCCCTTCGATGGAGTGAAACGTGAGACGATTTTAATTTATTGCGTGATGCGCTTCGTATCGTCGTCACTGGTTTATTCTTTAAGACTGCTGTTGAGTAAATCATTATCATAATAATGTAATAGGTACTAAAACAGTATAACGTACATAGGTAGGTCGTGTACGACGACGATACAACAACAATATACAAACTCGTTAACAACAATAATATTGTTTTAAATATTATTACCGCATTTTTAAAGATCAACATTACGACTTTTAGCGAGTAAATGTTGACGTTGAGGTTGACTTCTGACGCGTTTCGCCTTCAAAAACTATTTCTCCGGATGTCAATAAAAATTAATTCMTCATATTTATAATAAACCGACATCGATCCATACCGTATTTAAAAATGTGTTCATTTCCTGCAGCGTTTCCGGTCACTCGTTAACATTAAGGTTGTCATATTTTTATGATATTTTTAGCGACAGTTTAATGCTATAAGTAATTTATCGTCTCGTGTAAATCTGAATATCTCTATTCATATACCAGTAAATAAGGTAAATTAAGTATTGTGATAACAACACTACTGATAATCCATATAAAATGTAAAATACTCAATAAAATAATATTATGCGCTTGAACGTTTAAAAAACGGTATACCTATATGAGGTATACAATTAAAAAAATCTCTGGATTTCTTTAGATATTGTCCGTTTCGAGAGAATCACTCTGTAGAATATCATTAAAATATAATTTTTAACAAATAATAAAAATATTATAATTACGGGATATTTTAAAAATACGAATTACGTTTTAATATTTCCGAGTAGAAATCTCTTTTATTTTTTTAATATTACATTTCTGCACGAAAGAACATTTTGAAAAATATGTCGGTGTATCATATAATATTTCACGTCAACCGCGTAATCGTGTAATTATTAAAGTTTAAAGTTTTGACAGGGAAACGAGCCACATTACTACCCACTCTACGCTCGTCTCCGTCACTCGGCACCCTTATCTCGTTTTGAAAAGTAAAAATACGTGGGCCATAATTAGAAAATCAAAAGTTTATGACGTTTTAGGAAGACAAAAGGTAGCGGAAACGGGTTCGCAAATGAAATGTTCGTGGTATTACGTATCTTGAACCTTTTACAGAGCTGCGGCAATAAGTTGCAGTAGAATAATAATAATAATAAATTATGTACCATCGTCCATCGTGCGCAAAGTGTTTCGTCGGAACGATCGAAAATAATAAAGTTAAGTACGCATATTATATATTATTATACAAGTGTATTACACACATTCGAGGTTTACATATAACGCTTCCCTTCCCTTTCTCTTCCTCTCACATAGCTTAACACCTGAAATTAAATATCAACAAATTTAATGATTGATCATATTCGGAGTGAGCAAAAGTATGAATAATTTTTAATTCATATCGAAATGATAGTTAAAAACATCTATGTGTACCTATATAAACACAATTAATATATAATATTGAACAAACGGTTCCAAATCTGTTTTTCTGACAAGCATTTAAAATTTATATGAGAATTACAATGATTTGGCACTAAAAGTTGTCTGATATACACATTACCTACACTGCTATACACCACATTAAATAATAATTATAAATAACTTTTGTCTTTTTAAGTTGATGAATACAAAGTACAAACATTTGCATTTTTACAGTGGTATTCTTCTGTTTTGACAATGGTATTTAAATAGCTATAGATAATTTAAAACAAAACAATGCCTAAGACTTGACAATTAGGCATCACTGTAAATGGAAACCACGATAATAGTTTATTTAAAAGTGAGAATAGACAGCAAATTTCTACGCATTATAAGTGAACATTATAGAGGTATAACTTTAATCATAAATTAATATTCTCACGAGTTAGAATTTAATGATTAGACATTGCAGTGCACTAATCTGCAGTTCAAATATTTTTAAACGCATATTACCACAGCAATATAACATATCGATAGCAAATATGTGCCCATATTTCAAACGCGTTTGTAAGTTTTAGATGAGCAGATGGCCCAATCTTCAATGCTTTAATATACAAACAAAATTTATTCTTTTTAAAAATATGAAATACAATTTATGGATGGAGATAGAGTAAACTAACCGTAAGCGCGACAGTCGTGTTGTCGTATATAAACGAAGACGATGAAAACACGTAGGTAGTGACGAACAGAAAAAAAACGGAAAAAAAAATAAAGTAGTTCGCTCGGTGCATTATAATATTATTATTATATATCACCCGAGTAAATAAATATTATTATTCACGATTCACACGTCTCGCACTTATTGGGCGAGGTGTATAGTATACAGGGAGCTAGGGTGCATCTAGAATATTTAACGATTCTGCGCCTATACACATTATGTAAAGTGCACGTGAAACACACTTACCGAAGCAATATTTCGAAAAATGAAAAAAATAATGGAATTGTATTCTCAAGACAATCAATAGTCGACTATACGTGACAATGATCACTATACTCATTAGTACTCATGACTACTGCAGGGTTTTATTTTATGCACATACAATTAATTGTTCTCGATTTCGATTTAAATGTTTATACCTACACTACATTGGTTAAACGTTTAAAATGTAAATTGTGTCGCTGATTTTGCAAAATTAATGTCATATGAAAAAAAATCGATTATATATATATATATTACGGAGGAATACGTGCAATTCAATTTGAATTCAATTTACTACTTTATTTGTCAGTCATATAATATCGAAAAATAGTCTACATAATAGTATCATCATAGTCGGTGAAGCGTTATTATTATAATTTTAAATACAAATATTTCAGTTCAAGTAGGTACCTACTATTATAATAATATAGGTACATTAAGAAAATAGCGCGACGCATAGGATGAATCTATACCATCAGTGATTTCCAAACTTTTTTATTCAAAGACCACATAATATATCAAAATCATTTAGTGAGCCAAATGTACATAAATACATATATTTTTTTAATTATATAAATATTTAAAAAATGTCTAATAATATACCTACTTAAATATACTTAGTTATATATAATTATGATACATGTCATAATCGAAACGTGCGAGCGATAAAAATTTTGGATATTACACATGTTTTTAGATTATTTAGCTACAGTCTTTTGGAGCCGGTGAAAACTACTTGTTCGCGCACCATCGTTTAGAGACCCCTAATTGTAGTTACCTGCCTATGAATATCGAGACGAAAAGCGTCCCGTTGGAATTTTGTTGAACGGGATACACATAACTCGAACGACTCACTATTATTTGCTCAGCTAGAAGGAGATGAACAGCTGATGGGCCGATGCAAAAGAAAACATTTCGATCACTTTTAAAATAGGTATCTATATATTTTCTTGAAGATGCGAGTTAATCGATCCCGGTAGTTTCGGCGGACAAGGAGTCAGCACTGTACTTTCTTCTCGTTTTCTTTTTTTATTATTATTATTATAAATTACTTTTATTATCAAAAGTTCCCCCGCGGGGACAATAATATTCCGCTCGAAATGCCGTCGCTATAACCATTTCCTCATAGTCACCGGTATGGGTGGGCGCGGTCGTCGTCCGAATTGCGTATGATGATCGAACGGTTTCGTGTGTCACGCACGAACAGCCGAGCGACGACCCTTCGTGTCGTAATACGTCTATGTCACAGCCTCACTTTCTACTCCC